GCCGCCTAGGGCTGCTCCCTAGGGATGGCATCGCTGCAACCCCCCAGCCTCCGCTGTGACCCGTCCCCGAGCTCCCCGTGGCACCCCCAGGGCCCTCCAGCTCCTGCCTTTGCAAAGGGGCTTTCCTGGGGGTGTCAGTGCCCCCCTCATTGACAGCTGCCCGTAGCGCTGCTCGTGCAGTCTGAAGCACAGAGCGAGGATGCGCCAGAACTGAGCGCCTGCAGGCCTTCCAATTTCACGCTCACACACAGAGAACTGCAGCGAGTGGCTTCCCAGGGACATTTCTGTGTGTTCCCCAGCTTAGCCCCCCTTTTCCTGAACACCAAGCGCAGATGGACGGACAGGACCCGCCAGCATCCCCAGCCAGCGCAGCTGGGACAGCTTCTCCTCTGCTATCTACGGCAAGCTCTTCCCCATGCAGAGGCAAGGAGCTGGGATACGTGTTGGGGAAGAGGTTGGACCCTCACAGGCAATTTCAGGTGACACTTTTCCACCCCCATGGGATACTTCCCGCGTGTCTCACTGCTCCCAGGTGGATGCACTCAGCTCGCTCAGCCTGTGGAGCTCTGTCACGCAGCGCAGAGCCGCCTGCCCCGTGCATACCCCACCTCCCAGCCATCTGTCCCTGTCGCTGCAATGCCTGGAAGGACACCGAGATGCTTCAATCCCACCTGCACATGGGCAGGGGAGCAGCAAGAGCCCGGGGGGCTCCTGCACCAGCCCAGCTGCACCTCCAACAGCTTCAAGAGCGGCCTCTCACACTGGAAAAAAGGGTTTTCCACCTCTCTCTCATACGTCCTTTTACGCAAGAGAGTCCCTAAATAACCTTTTGCATCCCAAAAACCTGCAAGGAATGATTATTTGCTGGCAACACAAGCACCGTGTTTGCAGAAGCCTGTTTCCTGTCATCTTTCTGCTTCAGGAACATTGCAAGCTGTTTTGGATGTTTCCTTGGGCTTGACAGCTCATCTGACCCAACACGTCCCCAGGACGTGCCCTCATTTCCAAGGTGCTGCATTGCCCTCCCTGAAGGCTGCAAACGCTTCCCAAAACTCCCAGTTTCTGGCTGCCCGTGCCAGAAACGAAGACACAAGCGATGGGGCTTTGCGCGAGATGGGAGCGTGAGACGTGAGAGGTGGATGATGACGAGGATGCAGGTGCCAGCAATGACAAGGATGAGCTCGCAGGATGAAGATCAGATGGCATGTCAAGGTCTCTGCATTTGTGCAAGAATACAGGGCCTGTGGGATAGGTCTGACCACATATATCCCTCTTTATTCTATACAGGACATGTGAGGTTGGACCTTTCCCACAGGTCTGATATTCCTCAGGTGGAAACCCCAAAGTGCCATCTAACCACTGCAAGATGGCAGGAACCAGTGCAAGGACACGTGTGAAAGAAGGCTGAACACCCGCCAGGGTGTTCAATGCCATCTCCAGCTTCTGCTGCCCCGTGAGAGCTCAGGGCAAGAGCAGCTCTTTATTCCAAAATAAAGCGTGGGAGATCCTGCCTGCCTCTGAGCTTGGTGCGAGCGGGTGATGTGGTCGGTGCTGAGTCCAGGGGAGTCCTGCAGCCCAGCACATCCCCTGGCTTCTCCTCCTTGCAAACCACACGTAAACGCGCGATGGTGATGGGCTTAGAGCCTGTCCTGCATACAGGAGCCATAACCTCATCTTCAAAGGACTGCAAAGCTGAAAATTCTCTACTACTTCTCCCTGCAAGGGCCCTCTGGCTTAAATCCTGCATAGCCTGATGGTAGGAGCCTTTACAATTCCATCAGTGCTGATAATACACATTAATAATTCAGACAACACAGTGAGGAGAAACAGCTCAGCAGCTCTTGATCTTCCTCCAAAGCTGTTCCCGCGCCCCAGAGAGCAGAACTCAAGCTGCAGTGCGCCCCAGAGGCTTGGAAAGCTCAGCATCCGCACGGCCGCGCCGCGC